AGATGTGACTTCAACTCTGTTCCAAAATCAGATTGCAAGTTCAGCCCCAGATCCATCTCAGGCCTCTGATTCAGGTCTGGCCTAGTACTGGGTCACTACTTCAGCTCTAGTACCTGCCTCCATCTGCAACTTTGGCTAGGGCTTGACAGCAGGCTGTGACTTTGGCTCCAGCCTCATGTCAGGCTTCATCTCCAATGGCATCTCCAGTCATGAGTTTTGGCTCTGGCCCAATATCGGGCTGTGACTTCAGCTCTTGCTCTATCTTGGGCTGATACTTGCTTCCAACTCAGACTTGGCTCTGGTCCATGCTCAGGCAGTTATTGCAGCTCTGGCTGCTATTTGGGCAGTCACACAGGCTCTGGCCCATCTCTGGCTGTGGCTCTGGTTCCAGCCTATCCTGGGCTACAACTTTAGCTCTGGCCCTACCTTATGCAGTGACTGCTTCTCTGGCCTCATACTGGGCTCTGATTTTTCTCCAGTCCCTGTTTTGGCCATTACTTTGACTCTGGCCCCATCTTCAGGTTTTTTTGGCTCTGACCATTACTTGAGCTGCAATTCTGCCTCTGGCCCTATCTTGAGCCACAACTTAGCCTCTCCGCCCACAAACTGAGCTGTGGTGTTTGCTCCAGCCTGCAACTTGGTTGTTGTGTGATTTCAGCTCCAGCCCCATCTCAGAACATGATTTCAGATTTGGCCTCCTGCTTGGATCACAGCATCTACTCTAGTCTCATCCTGAGGCCCAAATTTTGGAACTGATTACCTGCTCTGATCACAGCATGTGCTCTCTACTTCACCTTGGGCTGCAACTGTTCTGACCCAACTGTGGGCCCTGCTTTTGGCTCCAGCCTACTCAGGCTTCCACTTCAGTGCTGTCCCAGTTTCAGGTCATGATTTCAGGTCCAGGCCCATCTCAAGTTGCAACTTCAGTTCCATCCCCATCTGGGGCTGCAACTTCAGCTCTGGTCCTCTGGACAGGTGGCTACTGAAGCTCTGACCCCTTATGTGGGTGATGACTTTGGCTCCACCCCCATCTTGAGCAATCACTTTTGCTCTGGCTCACCACCACAGCCTGTATGGGGCTGCGACTCCAGCTCTGGCCACATCTATGACTGCAGTATCATCTCTAGCCTGATATTGGGCTATGACTTTATCTCCAGCCTCTGGGCTGTCACGATGACTGGCTTCCACTTGGTCCTTAATTTCTGTCCCAATGCTGCCTTGGGCTGCAAGTTTAGATCCTGCCCAGTATCAGGAAGCAACTCTATCTCTGGCCCACGGTTGGGCTGCTTTGGTACTTGCACAAAATCAAGCCTTGACTTTGTCAAGATATTGGGATGACCCTTCAGCTCCTCCCTCATCTTGGGCAGCAATTTTGCTCCAGCCCCACCTCAAGTTGCTGTTTGGGTTTCCCATCTTCAGCTGTGACTTTGGCTCCAAAGGGGACCCTGCCCCTGATGGGGGTGTATATCTTTGGCTCTGCTCATCATTTGGCCATTATTTTGCCTCCAGCCCTATCTCAGGCTCTTACTTTAGCTCCAGCCAGACCTTGCCTTTAGCTCTTGCTTGAGCTGCTACTTCAGCTCAGGTGTCACCTTGGGCCATAACTTTGGTATGGATCCTTACACAAGTTGCATCTTCTGCCCCATCCTGGGCCACTACTTCTGCTCTAGGTCCTTTTCAGGTTGCTACTTTGGCTCTGGCTCCATCCAGGGTTGCAGCTCTGGCACAAGTTCCATCTCAGGCTGTAACTTTGCCTCCAGATCCTGCTTGGGTGCTACTTCAGCCACTGTTCCTGCAGACACTCAGTCCTTTCACATATGCACCTATCCCAGAGACAGACAATGTGATGCTCTGCAGTGGTGTTACATTTGGGGCAGGGAGCCAGCAAGTCACCAAGGCAGCAATTTCTCTGCTGCCTGTGTAGTAGCAGATGCCTTAGTCCTGATCTCACTAGATTTCTGAAGGTTTTGCAAAGAGGTGGAGGGACCTACACCCCTCCCTCTAGGGTCTAAAAGACAGGTAAAGGGACAGCCCTTTCCCATGAGGCTGCCGAGTTGCCAGGGAGAGAAGGAAGCCCCTGCCAGCACTGACTGGATGGTCCTGCAAACAACACAAGGTGCTCCTGGGATTCTGACTGATCTTTTTACCTCACCAAGAACTCTTGGCACTCCTCTAGGGGGAGCTCAGAGTTCTGCTGGGTACTCCCTTGCTCAGGTCCCTTGTTGGCTGCCTAGACACCAGCACTAGATGGTACAGCCAAACTGTTTGCTTTCCTAGGCCATGGCACCTACTCCTTGGTTCCTTCTGTGCTGCCAAAGGCACCCACTGATGCTGCCCACCTTGAGGGACACTGTTGCTACATGGAGTGTGCCAACTGTGCTGGCTGGAGCACTAGTGAGAAGAGACCCAGTCCTCCCCAGGCACCTCACTGCCTGATACAAATGCCCAGCCCATTCACAGAGCCTGGGTGGACTGCCTCACCTAAGGCAGATGGACACTAGCTTCCAGTCACAGGGTCCCATCAGCAATAAGAACTGCAGCCTGATCATGTGGCAAGAGCTATGGAAATTAAGTTACCAGATACAAGGATGAAAGTCAACTTTATCCTATAGTTAAAACTGCAGTGTAGCTGGCTCTGTGCTGAGCACCCAGTGGACTAACATCATTCGTTCCCCGGGTAGCACAGAAAGAGTTCAGCTGGTCTCTACACTAATGAGGCAACTGCAGATGATGCTGACTCAAGACAAGGTCACCAGTACAACCAAGAATTTGACTCTCTAGACCTGATTTTCAAAGTCTTGAAGATGATTGTGCTTTCTTAATTGACACGCTGGGTGGAGGATGCACCTGTTCCAGAAATCCCTTGAGGTTTTTCATGCTGCAAGATTGACCAAAAACCACACAGATAAGGCACCTCCCATAGTCACTATGATCTGTGCCTGCAGATGCAGAAACAGTCACAGAGGACAACAGACTATTGCAGATATTTAGGAGAGATCTTTTGTATTTAGCATTGATAGCAATGGACCATGTAAGCTCTGGAGTGCTCACAGGCCAGCTAGGAGATGGGGAAGGGTAAGAGGATGGGGCTACCAAAAGGGTGTGTCTAATGAACAAGTTCTAACATGCCTTGAGGCTACAGCCTCATCCTAGGACACCAAACCCACACCATATATAAAGAAGATATGATCCTCTGAGCTGCACCAAGAGGTTCCTACATCTGGCCCCAGACTGAGAAGATGACCATACAGTAGTTGTGGGGCAGACTTCAGGCTTTGCTGGACACAGACAACACTGCCCACAAAAATGGGAAACCAGAACAAATGCCAATGTCAGAAGAAGGTGTGCATAGGGACAGTAAGGAAAAGTACATTAAAACAGAAAAAAAAGTATCTATGAACTTCAACCATGCAGTAGTGTTGATCTCAGCAGCATAAGAGTTCACAGAAATATTTTTTTAATAATATTTATCAGAAACATGGCACTTTACATCTTGAGGGCACAGAATATACAGTTATTATTCCTCACAACATCCCTGTGAGGTAGGCATTAGATTGCAATTATTATTTGACATATGGACAGAGGCAGAGAAGTATGTAATCAATCCTGCACAATTAGGTTGATAAAGTTCAACTTACTTACACACTGTGACCTGACTGAAAGCATAATAGTGGGGTAGAGGTGATAAAAGTATCAGCTATATTGTTTTACTCTGGTCAATTACACTGCTCAGGGTCCAACTCTGTTGCTTCCCCATAACCCCCTGCAAAAAACTCACCCTTGTTAAATAAGATACACACGCAGAGTTGCTACAAAGTGAGATCTGTAATGGAAATAGGAAAAAACCCGTAACAACCCACTTTGATTTAGCCTACTTTTGAATAAAGCCATGAGAGAAATTTGCCTGCCCAGCCAAACAAAACAGTTTCAACCTTTGTCCTTGATGACATCTCCAAGTCAGCATTTCAGCCTTCACATACGACTGTTTGTTTGAACTAAGAAAATCTAGGGGGGGGAAAAAAAGTTTGGTAGTCTGTGATCACTGTCTCAAAGTTATGCTTATTTTAATTAAATTGTTCTACTGAAGTCTGAGGGATTCCTGTATAGGAGGAGGAACTTCTTCATTGAACTCTTAACTTTGCACATATTTAAAAAGCCCCTTAGAATATCCATCTCCCAAGTAAACTTCTCTTTCAGAATTTTTTGTTTCAAAAATGAAATAGAACAGCTTTGTAAACTTTAACATAATTAAAAAATCCTAGTTTTTAATATACAATGATTGATTAGTTTCATTTAATAACTTTATACTGTAAATCAACTTTAGGAAACAAAGTATACTTGCCAGTATGGCTGCTGTGATTAATTCATCTTTCTTTAGCATTCAGTTGAGATTTCAAGAAATACTGTCCAAGAAAGATTCACAGTCTCAACCTGTAAACTACCACAGCTCAGCTGAAGCCACTGTAGCCATCATAATTCATTCAGACTGAGTAGCCCATCCATGGATTCCTTCATGTGCAGTATCAGTGACAATGGTCTGTCTCCAAGTTGAGGGATGATCACAATTGAAGAGGCCTGGGTCCACATACTCTGGAAACCAAAGTATGGTGTTGCCTTTCCCAGTAGAGAAGTCTTCATTCTCATTTAATGGAAGATTCAGTCTAATGGAATAATGGCTGTGCACTACAATGAAAGAAGAACAAAGTAGCTGCTTTTGAAAGAAGCCATCTTCATTTTGGGGACTGAGGGGTTAAAAAAAAAAAAAAAAAAAAAAAAAAAAAAAAAAAAAAAAAAAAAAAAGAAAAGAAAGAAAGAGTAACTATTAACATTATTACCAATGGACACATGAACTTCTAATGCAAGATGCACTTTTCCTTCTGTAAATGGAAATTTTGTCACAATCTCTCCCCCAGGAAACTGTAACCTTGGTCAATAGACAGAATTTCTAAATCCACAGAGCTACTGTAGTCTCCAGACAAGGGGGGGGGGAAAAAAAGTGTGCTCAGAAGTGCACTTTGTATATCCTGCCTCACAAAGGGTTAAAGTGCTAAGTTGTTTGATATATCCAAAAATCAAGCATTTCTCCTAGTCCTTTATCTTTTTAAATGAAACTTTATCTTTGGTTTCTTGTATCTTCTCTGTAATTTTATCCTTTGTTTCCTCCATCTTCTCTGTAATTTTATCCTTTGTTTCCTCCATCTTCTCTGTAATTTTATCCTTTGTTTCCTCCATCCTATCTTGTAGATATTCTTTTACTGGTGGTGGTGTGGACATGTAGCCCCTCTTACGTAGATACTTAACAGTGATGGATGTTCCTCCCAAAGTCACAGTGTATCTAGCAGGAGTTGCAATCTTAAAGAAACCAAAGAACATACCATATCAATAAAACAGGCAATTATCATCTAGCAAAAGGTATTTTTAATATTGAGAATTTATTTTGGCCAGTGTCAGATACAAAAAAGTCTTCTATTTATAAGGAAATCAGCTATTTTACAGTGCATCCCCCAGAAATGTATACCTTTCACTGAAAGCACCCTTTAAATGAAACCAGTACAGGCATTAGACTTCATTCTAAAAGAACCCCACGCTTCCCTGTGCAGCTGGTGGGATGAGCATCAGGCATCTCGGAATTCAATTCAGAACAGGCAGTATGTGAACATTGAGCCATATAAGCAAAGAGGAAATACTGACAAGATATGCTTTAAATTCTAAAATTCGTAAGAGTATAGGGATCCTTCAGCCCAAAACTAGAGCTAAAGAGACCTTCAGAGGACAGATAATCTAAGACACAACAAACTAGGTTTGTTATTCTAGATAGACTAACCTCTTATTTCAGAACTTCAAAGATAAAGCCTACACAATCTTCCCTTTGCAGCCTATTCCAGTGCTTCCCCATCTTGAAAGTTTCTTCCAACAGTGCCAGATCTCCCAGGTACAATAAAATATTTATATTTAAGCATATTTATTTATTGGTCTCTTTTAGGCACAGGAATTATTGGCCAGAGTAGTACTTTCACATTTTGTTTGGGAAAACAACCCTTTTAAATAACAGGTAAGTACATCACATTTGGAAAACAAACCAGATGAGTGGCATTTGAAGCCAATATAGTACTTTCCTTTTGCATAATCTGACATGTTTAACGTTTTCCAAACACAGATTGTGCACATATGAAGCAATAAAAAGGGCCCCAAACTGGAATTTAAGTAATTGTTTCAAATGGACAATAAAGTACTTGACAATGATGGAGAAATAAGGTAGGAAGACAAGCTACTCAATCTTCTAGGATAAAAACACCTGGAAATCATGAGGTGTTTAGACTTTACCTCTTTATCTCTGTTAATTATGTCAGGGATACAGAGGAATAACTTAATTGTAATTGTAATTAAATCTCTCAGGGCAGACAACAGTTCTGCAGCAAACAAAGAAGTTAATTTAGAAATACAGATAAGACTCTTAAAGGAACACAGAGCCTGTATCAACTTGCATATGACTATTTTTACTGCAAAAATGAATGCTCAGGTATGTGTAACTATCAAAGAGAGAAAACAGCATTAATTCTTTCTGCTGTAAACAAATAAACCCTGTTTAGTTCACCAGTCAAGATTTGGAGCTTATTTACAAACTATAATTATACTTACTTTATACAATGCATATGCAGTGAGAGCATTTCCACTCTGGGAATTTTTCAGGATGTTTGTTATGCTGTCTGGTAAGCCAATCAACTCTAGGAATGGAACAACATTCACTCCTCTATAAAAGAAAAAAAATTGGCAACCTTAATTGGAATTTGAAACCTTAACAGTGATTGACAGTACCATTTCTGTTCTTTAACTCTATTATACAAACTTTGTAATTTAATAGCAAAGTATTTTTTAATCTAAACAATATACTTACAGGATTTATATTTCTGTACATATAGGCAAATTAATGTCCTTTTCAGCATTCCAAGAGGTGACCCATTTATATTATCTCTGTTGGGCTGAATAGCTACTAACTTACCTGTGTCTCAGTTTATTATGGTTGGAGGTAAACAGATATAATGGTGGTAAGACAATTACTTGGGCTCCAGTTGTACAGGCTCAACTTCACATTCTCTTTTGCCTAAAATTACTTCTTTTCATTTTAAAATTTCTAATTAATCTGCAGCATGCCCAGAAACACAGAATCCAAATTTTATTGTCCTCCATTCACTGTTAATATATCAAACAAATGGAATGTTATATGGACAAGACCTGAGAGTTTTGTGCTTAGTTGTTCTACCTTGTCAATACAAGGTGGCAAGATGGGTTGGGTGCAGAGAGCACTTATCACAATTTCTTTCTATTTGAAAACCAGGGAAGCTAACATCAGCACCAAAGAAAAAAGCAGCTGGTTTTTACATTAGAGGAGAAAGCTCTCTGCAGTTACAGAAGACCTGATTTCTACTTAGAGGTGTTTTTATTAGTATCATTATCTATTTCTACCTAGTATTTTAAGCATTCGGCTGTGCATACAGTCACTTCAGCATCAGGAACAGTAACAGGTAGTAATTTACCAACAGTTAGTAGAACCTACAGTCTGAAGCCTATCCTAGGAGCAGAAAATGGAGACTTAGTAAGATAACTTTGTTATTTCATAAACCACCATTGCTTAGTCTCCTATCATAGCCAGTCATTCTGAAAGTTATTTTTCCACTTGTTTTCAACCATCAAATACCTATTTTAGAAGCTAACTTAAGTGTTTCAAGAAAAGTATTCTTCACTCATTCTGAAATATCTGGATGTAAGCATCAATCTGAATTAATCCAAAGCAAAATATTTTTACAGCTCAAGACCTTTATTCCTCTGACATGAACTAAATTTAGAATGACATTTGGATCTATAGCTCCTAGAAAGGGCAATTATGCCAGCTGGTTAGAGTAACTAAAACAAACACTTGTGCAGGAAGGCATTCTGATGCCAAAGCCCCATCCTTGCTGCCACAACCTGTTGTCGTCTCATGCTTTCTATTATTAAATATAAAACACTAGCAATCCAGAGATAAACATTTACTCATATTTAGCAAACCATTTGCAGATAGAGAAAACCTTCATCTGGATTAGCAGGTCATAGTTGATAAGCTTTTTTCTAATAAATGCCATTTCCCCTAACAGTATCTGTCACACACGATAGCTGAAAAAACCTAAATTAGAATAACTTACTTTTTTTTTTTTTTGCCACACAAGTATTTAATTTCCAACTAAAAAGTCTGGCCTACAGTAGCTATTTTTTCAGTTGAAGACAGTAAACAGAAAGAAGAAAAGGAAAACGTATGCATAGCTTGTGAGGAACTCAGAGTGAGGTGAATGACATCAAAGTCCAATGATGAAGGAAGACTGGGGATGAAGGGGGGAGGAAGTGGTGAAATACCTCTGAAGTCCAATGGCAAAGGAACAGCTCTATAAACGTCTCACCTAGCAATTCGTAATCAGGATTCCAAACCCCTATTGTTAGCTTACAAGAGGTTATTAATAATTAAAATGCTGTTTCATTCACACATTTTCAGATGAGCATTCCTCTAAATGCTGGCAACCTATCTGATACATAGCAATAACTGCATGATAAGAGCATGTATGTGACACCCTCATGACTCCTATATACTTTCAATAATTATGCTTCAGTTAAAGAGTAGCCTCATTCCCCTATGACATATAGAGGCACATTTTAACATGCAGTAACATTTTTTTCATGTCCTTTCACCTGTGAAAGTCAGTCTCAATTCAAAAGCAGAATTGGGCACTGTAACAAAACATCAACTTACTTCATGGCTGCATAGTAAAAGGATCCAAACCATACAGTGGAAGTAAGAAGATGCACTGGAATCATGACTTTTCCATACTGTTTAAAAGTCTTCTTGAATCTCTGGACAAGACTAATTGATTTATCTTGTAATGGATCAGGATCTGAAGAATCCGACTCTACAGGGTTCTGCTTGGGTGTTCCAGTGGCCAAAGTCAAAGCGTTTCTCTCTTCTGCTACTTTGTGAGGAGCGTCTGCTGGTTCTGATGAAGCAGCACTTTTCTTTGAGGCAAAGCATGCTGCACCTGTGTGAAGACATCGTTTAGGAGGGTCCAGTGCCAAAATCACTTTACATCCAGTATCAGACAACAATGATTGTCCTTTTAAGCAGTGAAAGATACTAGTGTGAGGCAAAAACAAGCATGTCCCGTGTGCCAGCTGAGACGCTGTATGTAGCAGACTTCGTTGCATTTTGATCAAGTGTGGCTGAAGTTTCTATAGAGAGGAAACAAGAAAAGAGTAAACACATTGCACTTCAAGAATCTGATTTGCATTTGCTCCATTGGCATCTGAAATTCTCAAATTTTAAATTGCTTTAGAATATTCTAGTTTAAAAGGTTTTCATTATCTTGTTTTGCAGAATTTTACCTTCTAGAATTAAGCAATTCATTTTAGATCTCACTTATTTAGCATTCTGAACAAAAACGACCCCTTGACGTAACATACTCCTCTTGTCACAGCTAAAATGCTCATTCTACTCTCTAAAAACATTTTTAGCTATCTAGTGCTATCTACTGCTTTTACCTGTGTAATCTGGCGCTTTTTGAAAAGTTACCCTTGAAACTTTACATCTTGTAGCAACTGATAATCTGAGTGACTCTTCATGCCTACATAAATGTAGCATGAACTCACTAAAGAGCAATTAAAATCAATTTTTGGTGTCAACAGATTATTTTTTTGGGTATAATTTTTAATGTCCTATACTATTTTGAAGTAAGAATTAAAGTCCTTATAGTACAAAAAATAAATAAATAAATGAATCAATTAATGATCAATAACCTTAATAGTAACAAACCAAACTAGAACAGCCTGCCTGCATATATCCATTAGGAAGGGGGATGGGATGGTAACATCTAATATTAATATTAATAGGAGCAAAACTGAACTGCAATTTCAGAAATATTACAATGCAAAGAACATTTTAAAACTGTGGGTAACCTAGTTAACTCTATGATTTTGAATACTTAACAGGTATTCCTGAAAGTTCAGAAGGACTATCGAGAGATTCTCCATTACAGGAATTTTCTTTGGCATGTGTAGATATCAAGGCATAATTTCCCCCACTCCCTCCCCATAATGCATGCTTTGAACTACTGAATGAAATACTCTCTCCTTTCCTTTATGCAATGACTGCAAGTTACAGAATAATTTTCCTTCCATCCAAAAAAGTGCCACTAATTGACTTTATGTAACAATTGCTAGTTAGGTCAGTTAAATTACAACTGTCATATCCTTCTGATGATTTTGGTTTTAATTATCATAACAATTCTTGATCTAATCTAGAAATCATTCAAGTTTAATTGAAACTCCATCTTCACATCTGCTTCTCCTTCACCTTAGATATAATTCATTCAGGTTTTTGATAGTGAATTTGTCTAGGCTGCTGAAAATGATTGATACTTAATAACATAAGCTAAGTTTAAAAAAACAACAATGAACAAGCCTTACATACCCTTTTGTTACTTTTCAGATAGGCAATAAGAAAAGTGTATGGTTTGTATCTTCAAAGAGTTGCAACTCTTCCAAGCTCCCCACCTTTGAAATATGTCTTGAACATACTAATGACTCTGCTAAAGTAGAAAAAAGGGGCATTTAGAGAAGTAGCAACAACAGAGAACCAATAGCATGAAGATTTTTGGTCACCCTGAAACCTTGCTTATTGAAGAAATTATTGGTATAAATTCCCTTTTGCATACTGACATGGTAATGGGAGATTTTTTTCCTGAGTATCTTAGAAGTTCCTCAACTGTGAATAACTGCTTCTTTCCAAAAGGAGAAAAGTTTCATAACCTAAATGCATCTGTCAGAACATTCCTGCCTATATGTTTTCTAAGTATTCTTATTAATAGCAATTACTGGAATTACAATGCTTGATGTAGCAAAAAGACAGGAGGAATGGTTTCAAACTCCCTTGCACGTGAAGCACAGACACACTTTTGTTGAACTCATACTAACAGGAGGTATTGCATCAATAGGGAACTCTTGTCTCTATGTAAGCAAGCAGTGACTCACTCCTGTTATGAACTCAAGTGGGAGCAAAGAAGTTACTGCTTCTCACAGAGCAGTAAATCTGCTACAGGTACAGCCTCTCACCCAGTCAGTCTTCTGTAATAACTCTCTGGAAGTACCAACTACTCGGTTTTAGGAGAAGCAGAGATTCTTGTTGACTTCTTAGATTCAAACGCAATTGCTTCACAAAACAAAAAGCAGTGAAAACACTTAGCAAAACTCAAGTGTTAAGATGGCACTCTGTCATAAACCAACTACTTTGTTGATGAATAGAAATTCTAACAACAAACTGGAAGAAGACATTGCTGGCCTACTGCCACCTACACTCCTTTCCTGAGGGATAATAGCCTCCACAGAGGACCCTTTTCACCTCTCACTAATAGCACACAATACTGGGCATCTGCCCTAAGTAGAATTTCCCAATATCCAACCAGCAGACTCAGGAATAGATACCTATCCATCTGTGGGAATCTGAGAGCTCCTGAGTCAGACTTCTACTGTCCATCCATTTTCAGTGGATGGTACCCTACTGAAAAATAGCTGTTTCAAACAAGCTTTGAAAATTGCCACCATACAGCATGGTGGAAAACCATGCTCAGCACTCTGATTTTGTTTTGTCATGATGCAAGCTGGCTGGTCAAAGGGGAAGTTCTCTAACCATCTAGGGTAGATCCTGAAATGGTTCTGAACCTTGTAAGCACAGATGATAGTATGGTTCCACCTAATACTCTGCGAAACAGCTTACTTTTTGCTTCTTCACTTAGAAAAGTTTTTTTGTTGTTTTTTTTTTGTTAGATGCTTCATACATAAGAAAAGGCTTAGATATAATGCTTATATCTGATAGAATAAAAGAAAATGGGTTTTTCAAAACAATGTTGGAATTTTCCTAACAATCCTACTGTTTCATAGGAATGTGCTGTATTTTCCTTACCTAAATGGACAAAGGAGAGACTTCTGAATAGTGCTTCAGCAGCACTCTATAATATTGCCTCATTTAGTCTTAATGGTTACATCAAGATGGTTACAAATTGATAAACTAACAGACTAATATAGCACACTCTTCATAATTTGATTTTAAATAAATGAATATGTTTAAGGGGTGATGGGTGGAGCTGCTCAATTGTAGTATTTTAATTACTTGGGTCAACATTGCAAACAAACCTTAAACAGGACAGACAACTCAAAGTGCACTATAAATGCACTTGGAGGTCCAAAGAAATATAAAACTGCAGTTGTTTGATCCCTCTAAAACACAAGATCAATACAGAGAAATCTGTAATTTAAGATGCAATTAGTGAAAGGAAGTTCCTAGTACACTGTGCACTCAACAGGCAGCAAGAGAAAGCATGTCAGCTTATGGACATGAGACAATTTTGTTATCCAAGTATAATACTGCTCTTACAGAAATTACTGGAGCTATATAAGCTGTACAATTGCCTCTGCACCTTTAGGTTCTTAAAACCACTTAGAAATGAAGGACAATAACCTAAATATTATCACCATTGCACCCAGTGACTTTCTCAAAAATTGTTTCTTCATTTCAGTGTATTTCATTTTTTCATGCTGTTGCACGATGTTGCAAAGGCACAGAAAAGGACAAAAGCCAGAAGCTTCAGATACCAAGGCAGAAATTCAGATGGTCTGTAGTATCAGAATTTTGTGGGGGACACAGGAGGTGGGGTGGGGCTGATCTAAAGCATCCTAGATTTCTACGTAAGCTTTCTCTTACAAATACTGTAAGATACAAAATAAATATGGAGCTGTGGAAACGTCTAAGGACAAATAGCTGTTCTCTGCTGTAAGAATCCCATGTGTTCAGTGACTAAATAGATGCCAGTAGGTCAAACTATGAAATGATATACAAACACTTCTGGGATAAGGTGTCCTCCAAAGTGCTGTCATATTCTGGCTAACTATTCAGTAGTATCTCCAGCTGGCTGTAAACTGAGCTGAGGAGAGCTTGGCTGTTCAGGACATACTCCTAGTTGGGATTCTTGGACAACCATTTAGTTCCTAAAGGCACGTCTGCCTCATGGCAAGCTATTAACAATCACTATGACATAAAGAAGTGCACTAGTGACCTCTTGAGGAAAAGTACAGATCAGCTTCTAGCGACAGCGCTAGAGGTTATGTTTAGCAATCTTTTGTACTTCTGTTATAATTTAGATCAGCTTCAGCATAAACCCAATGTACTGCTGGAAGTAGTATTCTTGTATTCCCCACTCTTGAATTTGCTCTGCTCAGTCTTTGCTTTCCAGTGACTACTAAGAAGTGGAGATCTGATTTGCTTTTGTTCCTGAGGACAACTAAAGTTCAGGATCTTTTCATGTCACAGAGTAGGTCTATGTGACTATTACAGATTGATGGTTTTTGATGTGTGTTAATATTTTATACAAAAAGAGAATGAGAGGATCATTGGAAAACACAGAAGTAACAACCTAGACCAATACAGGTACAGCAAAGGCTGCTGTGGATATCTGCTGTTGGAAAGAAATATCATGCCAGAGATGCTGTCAGATGCAACTTTCATCAGGATAATTTGTATAAGAAGTCGCCCTGTTACAATTACCTTTTTTTTTTTTTTTTTTAGCTATAGATAAATTAAAATAGAAAAATGAAGGTGGATAGAAGATGGCAAAAACTAGCATAAGGTCTTTTGTAAAATAGGTCAGAAAGCATCTGAGGGAATTACAGGTATATTACATGTACTGCACTGGCTTATTTTCTCAGGTTTACCAGAAACACTCTGGAAACAATATGTAAATATGGATTAATTTCAAGTATTTTTAATTGTTCTGTTACTGTTTAAAAAGAAGAACATTAATTATACCATAAGAGAGTTCCAAATTACAATCCGTGAGCTTTTTCCACTCCCAAGGCACCTTTCTGTGAAACCAGAGAACTAATTTACATTCGTATAATTTTTATTATAAAAATCAAGCCAACTTTGAGGGTTGCATGTTGTATATACAGAAGAATTTTGAAAGGACAAACCCCAAGTTTTCAGAAATACTTCTCAGCTCACCTTTCAGATTGTATAAAAAGCAAACGTACAGAGATATCATTCAAATAGCTCAAATACAAAACCCCACTGTATTGCTAAATTTTTACCAAATACAGTTAAACATTATGAGAATTTGTTTTCAGATTTTAATTGTTCTTTTGAAGGACATTTTTCCAAA